TTTATATACTGAATATATTGAGCCTGTGGGCTCAGTTTCGGACTTGACTGCACAATCTTGTTTGCCATTTATAATATAGCACTCCTTTAATATCAAAATGGAGGTGCTGCCTTTTGAATGAGATTAGGTAGTTGTGTAGCTTCTACCATTAGAGGTGGTCATCAAGGATTCCATAGCACTATTCTAAGAATAGGATGTTCTCCAGCTAACTAGACCAACACTGCTTTCTTAATCAGCAGTTGTAGTTTATGTGACCATGCTGTACAGAAGTGAGTATTATGTCGGCCGGAAGATCTGGGTTTGAATTCTACCTATGCTGGAAAAGGACTGAACAGGTTGATTCAAAACACTAACAACTATTCTAAAAAATGCAGATCGCTTTTAATCAACTCAAAAATTTCTAAGCATTAGAAACAAAGGCAAGCATGCACAGAACTAGAGCAAGATTTTGAATTGGGTTAAAATGTGGTTGGGGAGGAGAGTAGAAGTATGGACTTTCACAAGATCTTAGCAGCGTTTCCCAGGTACCTGTTCTGTGAAATCAACTTTTCACCGCAATTTTTTTTCTTAATGGTTTGCATTAAGGAAGAGTTGCGTAGTGCAAATGGGAGGAGTAAGCTGCAGGTGGAATGCACATAATGATGTGGGCTAATGTGAAATGTCGGATTGTTTTCCAATTAGTGAGAAATAAGAACTACTAGAGGAGCCAAGAGGTTTGACAGTCCAAGCAGAGAAATTATTAAAAGATAGTAGACAAGTATTAAGAAAACAAAAAGATAATGGAATGTTTTACATCAAAGTGGCTAGAATACAAAGAATAACTTCAGTGATATATTTCTCATCTGAAGTACTGCATTCAGTTTTGGCGACTCAGACAATATATTAACCTTGTAAGAAATGCAGCACAGCATGACAAATGGTCCGAGGATTAAATTTTACAAACACGGATTCATTGAAGCTTTGAAGATTGGTCAATATGTCTGATGGTTCTTCACATCTACCCTACTTTCTCTGGAATCAAAAACAAGTTGTCAAAACTTGAGAACTAGGGCATGCAGGAATAAAATCAAGAAACAATTTCCTCCCAGAAGAACTGTAGGAACCTTTAAACAAAACTTCTGTCCTTAATATTCCTGGATAGATACTTTCATGCCACATTTACTGCTTTGATAGGACCTATTAATTGAAACAAAATACTTGAATAAGGCTTTAACAAGCTGTTCAAATTTGAGCGTATAAAGGAAAGGAAAACACAACTTAAAGAAGTCTGATTTACATTTATATTTTACTACCTATATAAGCACTTTCATAGGAAAATAAGAAAATAAACATAGTACTTGATATTTTCTAAGATAAATAACATTCTTGTTTGAGGCATTTGACTATCAATACTAACAATACTCAATGTTGCTTCACTCAAAATAGTGATTTAACATGATGAAAATACACACAATAACATATTTGAAGAGTGAAAATAAAATAAATAGGATGCTTTTGGAACTTTGTGTTAAAAATCTGATGACTGAACTTGTAATTTTTTTAAAAACCTGAATGAATAAACAGCAGGGCAATGTCAAATGTGTTATCTAGCCTGAATTTAACAGGTTCTATGTTTGTTCATAAACCACATCTCTCAGAACGTGTGCAGCATATACTTTTCTGCTAACAAATTCTTTGCTTGCATCTGTTATCAGAAAGATTTGTTAAGCAGAAGACAATGGGAATGGAATAACAGAGCAATACAGCTATGCAAAATTGCTTTTAAAGACCAATATATCTTTTTTTAAAATCTTGTTTTGTTCTAGTGAATATTGACATGGGGAGAAGTGTGGTTGGTTGCAGAGAGAGAGAGAGAGAGGAAGAGGGAGGGAGAGATAGACAACATGCAGGGAGGGCACAGAACTACAGCAAAAGATTGGCATTTGGGGACATAATATGGCCTGCAGCTCTGTTTGATAGCACCAAATGCTACTGAAAGGTTTGCTCATTAGGAAGTTGCATATAATCCTTCTCATAACAAAAGTTACCAAGAAAACATTGCAATGAAATTGTTGCATGTCTAACTTTAAAATTCTACTTTTAATGGACCTTTCAACTGTACTGCTTAAAAATTCAGTTACTATTTCAAATTGCTATTAACATATCTGATCATGGAACAATTGCAAAAGTTTCAGCACTTCATGTCAACTTAACTTGAATAACGTAAAAACTTAACAAAAATTAAGATACAACTCTCAATTTCCAAAATGCAGCTCAAAAGTCACCAGAAGGAATCAAAGATGAGAAGACTTCTGCACATTTTAGATACACACAAAAGAAAAAATCCCTACTCCCCTATTTTCCTTAAAGATCTGCCACTGGATTCCCTTAACAAGTTAGCCTATGAACTGAGCAACACCATTAGTATCAGATGCAAAATAACTTCAATGTTGGGTAGATTTCACCTACAGTTGTAAGAAATTAAAAAAATACTACTGGCAATAGTTAGGTGTGTGGTGACAACCTTGGATGTAGCAAGTAGCATAAACATTCAGGCTCTCTGTGCAGGTCACCACAGGTCATCTCTACCGCTTACAGAGTTTGCCCCATCATTACCAGTTTGCAAATGTCACTGTGCACAATTATTTAATCCAGTGCAATCATACGACAACATAAAATGTATTTGACTGAGAGACTTAGATTAAAGCTATTTAAATTCAACAGAGCAGAGACTGTTTTTATTTGCATCTGAGAATAATGTGTTTTTTCAAAAATGCTTTCGGTGAAAGACACATTCCACTATATTATCCTCAAACTGGGAGAGGGGTAGTTTACGTGAAAAACACTAAATTACTGCAATCTTTACAATTTCATAATCGACTAGTGGAAAATGTACCTGTGGTGAGACAAGGCAAAGTTACTAATCCCTGCTTCAAATTGGGACATTCACTATACTTTTTCAACTATGGATACACTATCTGAACTCTAGAACAATCACAGAATCCCTACAGTGTGGAAACAGGCCCTTCGGCCCAACAGGTCCACACCGACCCTCAGACATCCCAACCAGACCCATCCCCTTATAACCCAACTAATCTAAGCATTCCTGAACACTATGAGCAATTTAACATGGCCAATCCACCTAGCCTGCACATCTTTGGATTGTGGGAGGAAACCAGAGCACCTGGAGGAAACCCACGCAGACAAAGGGAGAAGTGCAAACTCCACACAGACAGTCACCCGAGGGCGGAATCGAACCCAGATTCCTGGCGCTGTGAGGCAGCAGTGAAGACAGATGATCTATGATGGAACATGCAACTAAACAGAAGTTATATATAGACTTTGGTGCAGATGCGGCAAGGGGTAATAAAAACAAATTGGAAAAACAGGTAAACAAAATACAAGCCAATATTCAAAAATAATCGTGTCAGGAATGAGTGGTACATTGGCGAATGTGCAAAATATTCAAAAGAATGCACTGCAGCAACTCACCATGGCAATAGATGCATGGGAACATCATCATGTGTGAGCTCTCACATACCATCCTAACTAGAAGCACGTTCCTGTTCCTTCACTGTCTGAGTCAAAATCCTGGAACACCCATTCTAAAAGCACTGTGAGTGTACCTGTTACATGTGGACTGCAGCAATTCAAACTCACAACTCACCATCACCTTGTCATGGGAAATTAGGGATGGAAAATAAATGCCAAAATACCCATTTGATTAACAAATAAGTAAGGAACTATGAAGGATGTGATACTGAACTTACAAGAGGAGGTCCATTTTCATTTGAAACAAGAGTAAAACAATAACTTTGCAAAATTTGTCAAGGATCTTGTTTACGTTCTATGGGCAAAAATTTTAACAAGCAAGTCTACGGACAGCAGTAAGAAATCTGAACATCAAAATGGGTAGATTTTATGGGAAGGAATTAAAAACAGAGTTTTTGTTTTTACTAGAGATTAAAATTAAAAGGGAGGCTTGTGATTAATTTTATTGCTGTACTCAATTTTCACGAGATGAAAGTGGAGATTAGAAATGCTAAGAGATGTTTTGAAAAAGACGACTTGCAAGTGACGGAGAATAAAAAAAATTTAGAACTTTCAAACATATTAAACATTAAGAGAGTTAAGAAGAATAACTGCTTAGGAATGAATGATGATTAACTGTAGAAGATAGAGATTTGGCAGAGAAATTAAATAAATACTTAGTGTTTTGTTACGAATAACAATGTATATGAAAATTTAGAAATCTCAGGTCACAAGGAACAACTGTCGGCGATAAATGAGTTGATAACTCTCGTCACTAGCATCTTACAACACGCCCCTTGGAGAGGTTGCATAGGCTTTGAACAGTGTTTTCCCAATCCTGCATTTAAGCTTTCATATCCAAATATGGAAATTCTGGTGTTGGAAAGAAGCTTTTGGTTCTAGGGGAAAGTGGAGGATGTAACAGGTTACTAGTGAGTGTATTCCAAATTTTAAAATAATTTAAGTTTACGGGATGTACATCATTCCACTGATATTGTGGTTGAATGAGACCTGGCTCTTTAAGGTTACGAAGTCCACTATATAAAGTCAAAGGGCATTTATCTACTGAGAGAGATGGATAACCTTCAATCACTAAAGGGGAGAAAAAGAAAGCAATGACTACCTTTCTCATTCTGAAGTACAACACAATCTTTCAAATAGGTAGGTACATTGAAGAACAGATAGTGTTTATCACTACATTGAATTATATTGATAATTTCTAACAAAGCTCGTCTTAAAAGTGCCAGATAATGGAACCGAAATAAGGTTGTTGCAAGTCTAGTCAATTTGATAAGGAACTTGTCCATTATTGAGGGGACACATTGTTGTTTACAAATTCCAGAAACTCCATCACATTCTTTTTCAAGAGTGCTCACAATCTGACAAATAAAAGAATCAGGAAAAATGATGAACTCCTGTAAAGCATTTTTGAAGCTGTTAAGACAATAAGTTAATGCACACATACACAAAGACAACAGTACAGCATAAAATTACCCAATTTGTTTTAAAAAAAGAACTGCATGTCATTTTTGACCTGACAATTTCTACAATTGCATTTGTGAGATTTGCAAAACCAATTTATACTGAAGTTCAATACAAGTTCACAAGATGATCACAAACCTCTCATATTATAGTTAGTGATATAGTGAAGAAAATTTCTCCTACTACAAATTTTCTCCACGTGCCTAATACACTTTAAATGATCACTTTATACATTTTGAAGATTTAGTTATCATTCTGATTTAGGATTCACAACAGCTTCAAGATTTTGGTGGAAACTTTTGATCTTAAAAGGAGTCTTTTAAATGTGTATTATGACATTATCAATAAAAACATGAAGTCAAACAGCAAGGCTTCCCTCAAACTACTCATCCACCTACGTAGTATTAAAAAGGCACGTACATTTCTATGGGGGAAATCTGGGATGTAAATACTGCTACCCACATCATAAGGCAATGAATCTGAAACATGATGGGTGATCAAATAAAATAGAAAGCACACTTGCCCACTGTCAGCCAACAGATTCTTTCTCTGAAAACTTAAAGATGCAGTTTATGTTATCTAAGAATTGTTTAATATAGTATGCCAAAATTAATGGCTGATTTGGAAAAGAAATATTGTGCAACAGGACAATTTAAACACTCAGCATCACATGATTTGCTCCAGAGGATCTATCAAATCATTAGGTTAAAAGATATTTTGATGCTCAACATCCAATTATCAAACCTTAATAGGTTACTAAAACCAACCCATCTTTAAAAAAACATTTCCCAGAAATCCCAGCAGAAAAGGTATCAGGAAGAAGTGGAACAACAAAATATAAATTGCAGCTTTGAGAGCTTCAAAAGGAGTTGAGGAAATAAACCAGACTCCTGATGCTCCAGATTATACGGCTACAACCAGTGAATAAAAACAGCAAATATTTTACAGATAACCAAAGATTGACAAAATGTGATTTATTCCTTTTTCACTTGCAAGATTTAGATCTGATCATTTAAAATTAATCAACAAGTCTATGGGCTGATGGAAACAACACAGCTGGTTAATATTAGCTTAAATTTGAATATTCTGTATATTGGTCACTCCATTTACTGTACTCTGCAATGTCGATAGATTATCAGTCTGCATAACAGTTAGCTGTGAAGAACCTGTTGATATGGTGACAGGTGTTCCACTCTGCATTTGACCAACCCCAGCTCCATGTGTTAACATGTTACTGATGTGACTAGTCATGGCTAGACATGCAGGCACAGAAATCGTGGTCACAATGCTTGTGCTAGGGGTCCCATTTTTTTCCAATGTGTTATTGTCAAGCACTAGAGCTTGTGTACTTCCAGCACCTAACTGTTCAACATTTGCCAAGATATGCAAGTGAGGTTGCACTGAATCGGTTGGTGCATGGAGTACTGCAAGCTCATTAAAAGTTGCTGCCATGGAGGCTGCTTGAGTTACCATAGTGATGGAAGGCAAAGCAGCTGACCTCCAATCTGAAGTACCAGATGTGTTTTGTTCATGTGAAGAGATGTTTCCATGGAGCGTGACTGTATTTTGGTCATTGAGTATTTCTGTACAAGACACTGATTCTTGTGCTTCTGAGGGGGCAACTTGCTCACAATCAACAAATGGGTGGAGATCTGTTCTTTGAATATGGCTCTTTTTAGAGCCCTCATCCAAAATGACAAGGAAGGATTGCCATGGTGCATTCTTGTTATGAACCTGTTAATTTAAAAAAGATTGAGACAATTGTTTAGAACAGCATAATTAAAATGCAGGTGGGTTTAAAATATCACATGAAGCATGTATAAAACACAACATATTTGTAATTGATCCTTGGTGAACATGCTCATTCTGCCCTGCTATCCACCGCTTTCATGACAATTATAGATTGGAAGAGAAAATGGACCAGAAATAGCTTAATTGAGGTTTGAAAAGTTCCCACAATAACAAGACAAGTGCAAGTGATACCAGCACTGAAAGTTTATAGTTATTAGGAGCAACTGACCAAGTTGAGATACATGTTTCAAGTAAAGAAGAAGCTGCCTTAAGAGAAATTTTAAAGCTAGGGAGGGATTAAGTAGGTTTAACATCAAAAATATATTTCTCCAAAAATAGTCAGTAATAAGGAATTCAGAAGAACTTTATCAAAAATTGGTTCACATTTGGAATGCAGTATTGGATAGAGCACTAGAGGCAAATACAGGAGATATTGTAGGGAAGTCCGATGAATGAATCCAGGAAAAAGAATGGATGGATATGCTGTAACGGTTAAATAAAAGTAGATTAGGACATGTAAAGTTCCAATGCTAGTGTAGACTAGTTGGGCCAAATTGCCTACTTCTCTGCTGAAACATCTATATAATACATTTAGCTACTGGAGTCATAAACATTTTAGAATACAAAAAGCAATTCGATAGTGATAATGAGAATTATAGGTACTATGAAAGATGTCCATCGGCTGGTGCATTTCACTGTCTGTGAGAGCATTAAATAATTCTGAAATTATTTGAAATTTTGGTTGGAATACCTCAAGGCAAGTAATTTGCATTTTTGGCATTTTAAAATGTCTCAGAAATCCCAAAGGCATTTCACAAAACTACAAGAATTATTACTGTGTCAATGACTTAATGTAACAAAATTAGCTAAAATTCTAAATTGCTGCAGAGGAAATTTGGCATTACAAGGGTGTGCATTCCAGTTATTTGTTAGTATCAATACGGAGCTAAGTCACACCTATTTAGTCGCTAAGACCATCTAGACTTTACAGTCACCAGGTGGTCTTAGTGGTGGTACTCTTTAATTTTGCATCTCAGTACATTAAATGTACTAATGCGAGTAAACAGAGTTTGTCTAAAAGGCCAATTGTTACATTTAATTTTTGAATCTTCTGCCCATGTTAAATGGATAGAGAGATTAAATATCACAAATGAAGACAAAAATCCATTAAAATTAAAATGCTGGTGAGGAAAAAATAACAATCAGAAGCAAAATGCAGAACCAGTTTGAGGTATTCTCTCCAATTAAGGCAGAAAACTTCACAATTCAAAAACCACTGGCTGAACATTGAGGAAACAATTTGAGAAATGAAAAATCCAACTGAATAGGAATTCTAGATCCATTCCACTGCTAGGAAAGATTGCCATAGCAAACAAAAGCTACAAAAGTTTTAAAATAATATTTAAATCATAAAGGACAAGTGCTTTTCATTTTACATGCAAGATAAATAAGTCAAAAATCAACACAGTTCTTGCTTTTTACTATGCATTAATAAACTTCCTTTTTGTTTGCTTTATTTTCTCAACACTGACTTCTGTTAACAACCATTGCCAGAACACAAGTAATTAATGCTAGTTGATTTCCAGTATCATTACATCTGCCAGGGATGTGGGTGAGAAGAAGGTAATCAGAACAGAATTGATCTAAAAACAGTAATGAGTGTATATGTGACGTGTTTGATAGTGGAAAAAAATTCTGGAATGCAAAAAATTTGTGCACGTGATATCAAAATGAAGGCCAGCAATGACGGGCACAAATACGGCCCGCTGTAAAAGGCTAAATAGAAAGACAGTATCTTGGGGATGAAACAACAGACAAATTCACATGGACAATTTCCATTTTAAAACGTCGATACACAAATTCAGAGTGGAAAAGTTCACAGGAAATGCACATACAAGCAAAATGTTAAACATTGAGTGAATGGGACTATACAAGAATGCTTTTTTTATGACACATATGCATACTGGCTTTTTTGTGTTAAAGTCTCAATCTGTAAGGTTATTATATTTGTTGGTGAAAGCAGCAGATTTGACAGATAAGATTGAAATTGTGTTAGAAAACAGGAGGACCCAACTACAGCTACACCATAATCCACTTTCATTCACAATTCCTTAATACCACTTGCAAAATAAAAATAATTATTCTGGTAAAGGAATTTATAGTTTAAGCAGTTTTATGGAGGGATTGAGTTTCGGAGCCATGAGGTCATGTTGCAGCTGTACAAAACTCTGGTGCGGCCGCACTTGGAGTATTGCGTACAGTTCTGGTCACCGCATTATAGGAAGGATGTGGAAGCATTGGAAAGGGTGCAGAGGAGATTTACCAGGATGTTGCCTGGTATGGAGGGAAGGTCTTATGAGGAAAGGCTGAGGGACTTGAGGCTGTTTTCCTTAGAGAGAAGAAGGTTAAGAGGTGACTTAATAGAGACATACAAGATGATCAGAGGAATAGATAGGATGGACAGTGGGAGCCTTTTTCCTCGGATGGTGGTGGCTAGCACGAGGGGACATAGCTTTAAATTGAGGGGTGATAGATATAGGACAGATGTCAAAGGTAGGTTCTTTACTCAGAGAGTAGTAAGGGTGTGGAATGCCCTGCCTGCAAAAGTAGTAGACTCGCCAACTTTAAGGGCATTTAAATAGTCATTGGATAAACATATGGATGATAATGGAATAGTTTAGGTTAGATGGGCTTCAGATTGGTTTCACAGGTCGGCGCAACATCGAGGGCCGAAGGGCCTGTACTGCGCTGTAATGTTCTATGTTCTATCTGAATGACTACATTGAATCAGTCACATACTCACTGAAGCATGTCTTCTGAGTGTAGATTTATCAGTAAAGGTCCTCCCACATGCACTGCACATAAAAGGTTTCTCTCCTGAATGTATGCGATAGTGGCGCTGTAGAGCATTCAGCTGTGTAAACTGCTTTCCACACTGGTCACAGCAGTAAGGCCTCTCACCTGAAAAAAAACAAAATTATTACACGCTTGCCTCAGCTTTTCAAAGCTTCAAACATTTCAATCATTAACAATTACCAATTAACAGGGGAGGCAATGGCCTAGTGGTATTATTGCTGGACTGTTAATCCAGAGACCCAGGTAATGTTCTGGAGACCTGGTTTCAAATCCCACCACGGCAGATGGTGGAATTAAAATTCAATAAGTATCTGGAATTAAGAATCTAATGATGACCATGAATCCATTGCCAATTGTCAGGAAAAACCCATCTGGATCACTAATGTCCTTTAGGGAAGGAAATTGCCATCCTTACCTGGTTTGGCCTACATGTGATTCCAGACCCACAGCAATGTGGGTGACTCTTAGCTGCCCTCTGGGCAATTAGGGAAGGACAATAAATGCTGTGCCGAGCCAGCAAAGCCTTCATCCCGCGAATGAACAAAGAAAAAAATTACCAATACGTTAGCAGCATTACAATATACAAAATAGATTTGTTGTAGGCTAACATTCATGTTTTCTGGTAGAAATTACAAAAGCAAAAAGGATCTTGATATACATTTTGCAGCCCAGAAAATTGTCAAATTTAGCTTAGTAAATTAGTGAAGATATTTATAATACCACAGAGAATCAGGTTTGAAGACCAAGGACTACTCATCAGCTATAACTTCCTCTTACCAAAGTTAAGTAGTTATTGCCCCCACAAACTTGAGTCTCTGACCGGCAATGCCATTCCTTCAATACAGGTGCTCAGGTGATTGCTAAATTTAGTAAACTCCATTTAAAACAAGCTCAGGTTTAGTACTTAAGAGTTTAAGTAAATAATGAAATGAGGCAAGTCTTTATTGGGTCCACACTGTTTGCATTATTGGCTAAGTTAGAACAAATCATATGATACCTGTATGAACTCTAAGGTGTTGATGAAGAGAATTTCTCTGTGCGAAAGCTCGGTAGCAGATCTCACAAACAAATGGTTTTGATCCAGTGTGGATTCTATTGTGATGTTTCAGATACTCCTTTGAAGCAAAACTCTTGCCACATGTTTCACACATAAATGGTCTTTCACCTGTAAGACAAAGCAGTCAAATTAATTCAGCTACATAAGCGTTCTTGAAAAGTTGTGTTTTAGCAACGAACAGTGGTAACTGGATGACATGACAACAGATGAAGTCCGTGCAGCCTCTTAAGCATGTTCCACCAATCAACACGGCTGATCTGCATCCTGACTCCATTCTCCTGCTTTAGCTTAATAATCCCTTAAAACCTTTGGCAAGCAAAAATGTATTGATCTCAAACAAAATTACCAACTGAACCAGCATCTACTACTTAGAGAGAGGGAGGGTAAGAAGAAAAGCGAGAGGGAGAGGTCCACACTCATATCATTCTTTTCAGGTAGTTTTTCCCAATTTCTCTTCTGAACAGTCTGGCTCTAATCTCACCCTCAAAATGTGTAAAGCATGGGGAACACAAGCCTAATTTATGTAATCCTCAATTTAATGTTTGGAGCATTTATAACATTCTTTTGAATCTATTCTGGACTCCTAAAATCAATACAGTTTAATCCATTTTAAAACACCTCCTTTTCACATTCAATGGTGTTACCATTACTAAAATCTTCCACTTTCCTTGGGATTACCATTGACCAGAAACTCAACTGGACTCAGCAGACAGTAGCTACAAGAGCAGGTCAGAGACCAGAAAGACCGAGGCAACTAAGTCACTTCCTGACTCCCCAAACCCTGTCCTTTATCTACAAGGCACAAGTCAGGAGTGTGACGGAATATTCCCTACTCACATGGATGGATACAGCTCCAACAACATCCAAGAATCTTGACACTATCCTGACAAAGCAGCCTGCTTGTCACCATATCCACAAACATCTACTCCCTCCACCACCAACTCTCAGTAGCAGCAGGGTGTATTATATACAAGATGCCCTGCAGAAATTCATGTCAGATCCTTAGATCCAACCTTCCAAACCCACAACCTCTTCCACCTAGAAAGACAAGGGCAGCAGATACATGGGAACACCACCACATGCAGGTTCTCCCCAAGCTGGCCACCATCCTGACTTGGAAATATATCACTAATCCTTTTCTGTTGCTGGGTCAAAATCCTGGAATTCCTTTCCTAACAGCTTTGTTGGTCAACGTACATGGTTCAAGAAAGCAGCTCACCACCACTTTCTCAAGGACAACTAGGGATGGGCAATGAATGCTAGCCAATCACTGACACCCACATCCCATGAGAGAATAAACAAAAAAGATGCACTGTGTAGAATGTACACAGTATTCCAGATGTTGTCCAGACCGGAGTTTTGTATAACTTTAGCAACAGCTCCTTACTTTCCTATGTTCCTTAATTGAGATAAAAAGGCAAATTGGAATGGCTGAAATTCCAAAACAGAGACAGAATATGCCGAACTATACACAGATCAGTCCAATGTCTGAAAGAAAAAGTCAAATCAAATTAATCAGCAATAGGAAACTGATATAACCATTCCACAAATGTAGATCAATGGAGCGGAGAATGGGACAACAAAACATGATAATGGGTTCCAGTATAAAGACCAGTTTCATGAATTGACAAGTAAACAAGAAGATATGTCTACATGGATCTTGCATTTTCAATCTTGGCCATTGTGGAGAAAGTGTTCTATATTCATGTTCTATCAAAGCTGCTTTTGTACTGTACTATGCAAGTATCACTTACACTCCACAAGTTTGCAGAAAATGTTTATTCTATTATGTTCCCAATGTCCAGACAATGTAAAATACACGTACTGAGGCACTTCAAATAAAACGAAGTAGAATCAAAATGATTTTCTGGAACATACTAGCCCTGAGTCATGCTATTTGTTTGGTCATTTTTAAAACTGAGGTTCAGGATTCATTAATGTCAACTACAGACTATAGCCTTGCTTGATGTTTTTGAACAGCCAACGCTCTAGTGGTATAGATCATATGCATATGCTACAGTTTAGAAACTTGTGCTTTATGAAACTTGTTAAGCCTGAACTCAGTCACTTCATGAAAGAGGTCCCACAAATCAGACAATAAGAAATCAGACTGTAGTGGTAACATTAAGTGATTATATAGCATATTGTATGCAGTCTATCAACCCAAATAATCATAACTGTATGTAAGCCATTTTATCACTTCCTCTCAGAAGATAGGATGAATTTTGAATTTAGATTTTGATGAGGAATTGGAAATCTTGTTTATTTCAATATTTCTGTACAGAGTGATGTTTTTTCTTAAATGGAAGACAGTGTCCGAGTCCATAATTAACCGTCCTTGAGCAAAATAACAAAACCATGTTTACTTGTTCAAGTGCTCATAAAAGGTCCCAACACATGGGAGAATAAGGAAGTTCTCCAGAAGTCGAGGCTAACAGTTATCTCACAACCAATAATACAAATAAACATTAACTGGTTATTCTTCTCACTGCATTGTATTGAACCTAGCAATGTACAGCTGCATGTGTCTTCATCACAGGAATGACCTTGCATCAAAATCATTTGCGATGGGCTCTGCCACATTTTGACTCTAAACAGCTTTAAAAAAATACTAAATTCTTTTTCTTCCTGTGCAATTTTGTTAATGCCTTTAATTAGAAAGAAAACAACAGTCCTGTTTTTAGCTAAAATTCAGCATCAGAATTCTGGTTTCTTTACACTTTCTGAAAGTCCAATCAACAGATATCAACAATGGCTCCATAGGGTCAATTCATATACTGGCCACATTATCTCTGCTCAGTTCAAATAGAGCATCCAAAATTCTTTCATTGTTAAAGATGCCTTCAAGAAATTCAGTTTCTTTTTGAAGCGTATACCTAATCTTCATTTCATCGCCTCCATCTAAGGAAACTCTTTTTCTCTGTGCAGAAAAAGCGTCAGCTAGGTGTCTTCCCCTTTCATTAGATTGTAAACTGTCATGTCTCTATTTTATCTAGATGTTTGATCAGTCTCCTCAAAATTGTTCCAAGCTGCAAATTTGCTGTTTTACTTTTTCATTCTTGTCCTACAATGAAATCAAGATTTTATTTGTAAGATCTCAAAGTTATGAATGTCCCCATAATCATCTTTCTGCTTTTAAAATTCAAGCTTGCTTTACACTTCACCTTTCCAACATAATGGATCTCAACTTTTCAATCTTGGTTGAAAAAAATTCAAACTTCTGCTGCAATTCAGTTGAAGTTACCATTCAGATTTTATTTTAAAAGCTGAAGTTATCCCCACTTTGTTGAAAAAATTAAAACTGAAATACAAATCTGGACAAGTAATAAAAGCAGAAGGACAGAAGGGGAGGTAAGCTAACTCAGACAGTTTCCATTATGCTCCAACTGCATTTCCCAACATCTTACATCAAAACCTACATTTTCCCTTCCCATTGCCCAGGTGAAATCAGAAGCAGTTAAGTTCAGGTTTTCCAAAGCTATCAGAATTGATGAAAATGGCAACTGATACTGCATTTGAGGTATGCAAATGAGAGAAATTAGAAGATAATTAACACAAACTTCATGGAGAGCAGAAAGAAAGTTAATTAGCTGAAGCATTGCTCTTACGAATGGTGTGCCAATTGCAAACCAGTCTGAGAAATCAGGTGACATGACTGTCAGTAATATTGTTGTCACTAAAGTGGATCAAATGCTAAAAGAAATGGAGAAATTCCAGAACTGAGATATTTCCTGATCAACCTGTCCAGGGAAGTTATTATACACTTGGGTCTCTTGATTCAGAGGTAGGGACACTACAACTATGCCACAAGAGCCCTAAATTGCAGAACTAAAAATATCAGGCAACAAGTCAATCAGGTTAACGGGTGTTTAATTATACACTTTATTAATGGCTTCAAGAAGCTTTTAAGTGAGTAATGAAGTCTAACAAGGATTTCCCGGTCATGGTTGCAATTTGAGATTTATCTTGTGTATTTTTCATCACAACTATAATATCTTATTTTACTTTAAAGAAAAGCGTTTTCACAAAATTCGACAATATCTTTAATTTCAATTCCCATATTGGGAAGGCACTCACTTTTCTTACCTCATGCTCACAGATTCAAATAGAGATACATTTGTGACTAACCAGGAAGCACCAATGCAAGCCACAGTAGCATTCCTCTTCTGACCTTTGGTAAACATCTCTTCCTAATAGGACAAACCCAAGCAAACACATTTTTGCTTGGGAATTACTGGCATGAACCATTCATGCCAGAGCATGCATGTACCAGTTTAAAAAAAAGACTAGCAATGCATTCTTTAAAAATGCTGACTAAATAGTCCCAATGTTCAGTACAATAAGATTAAGTAGCAATAAGTAGAAAATATGAAGTGTAAAATTCATATATGCTGAAAACAGTGTAGGCTGAAAATACTAAATGATCAGAATGTTAATTAAAGTCTATTAAGAAAACGTAAGCATCACTTCAGTTCAGTTTGATTCAGATTCCACATGTCAAATTATAGGAACATATATGCACCATATCTTGTTTCTTAGATGTTGATAGCAGGTTGTAAAGAGTGACTGACACGATCATTTGAAAAACATGAAAATAATGACAGAATCATCAGTGATTTATATGTATCACTACACATTAATGACTTGGATAAGGGAAGTGAATGTACTATCACCAAGTCTGCACATGCACAAAAATAGGTGGGAAGGCAAAAGGTGAAAATGACACAAAAAGGTGCAGAGGGATATAAACAGATTAAGTGAATGGGTAAAAATATGGTGAATGGAATATCATGTAGGAAAATGTGAGGTCATGAACTTTGGCAGGAAAAAGAGAAGTCAAATTATTTAAATGTAGAAAGACTGCAGAAAGTTGCAACAGAGGGAGATTTGGAGATACTCTTACATAAATCACAAAAAGCTGGCTTCCAAGCTCAGTAGAAACTGGGAAGGCAATGGAATGTTAGCCTTTATTTCAAAGGAAATGGAGTATAAAAAGTGACGCCTTACTAAAACTGTACAAGGCATAATTTAAATTGCATCTAGAATATTGAGAAATTTTGGTCCCTTATTCAAGGAGCGATTGTGTCTTACGAGGGGACCAAAACTTCACAATATTCTAGATGTGGTCTATATTGTGCCCATGCAGCTTTAGCAAGACTTCTCAATTTTTGCACTCTATTCTCTTCTTTTCCTTATTACCCACTGATCTTGGATATACTGAAATTTATGAAACATACAAGATTCTTAGAGGGCTTGACAGAGTGGATACTGAGAAGATTCTTCCTTCTGTGAAAATGTCTAGGATCAGAGGGCATAATCTCAGAATAAGGGTCGCATAATTATGAGAGGAGGACAAATTTCGTCTCTTTGAGGGTAGTAAGTCTGTGGAATTCTTTACCATAAAGGGGTGTTGAGGCTGGATAGTTAATTATATTTAAGGCTGAGAAGCATATTTTTAATTAGTTAGGGAATCAAGAGTTATGGGGAAAGTGCAGGAGAGTGATATTAAGGATCAGATGAGCCATGATCTCAGTGAATGGCAGAGAGACTTGATGAACCCAATGGCCTAGATCTGCTCCTGTGTCTTATGGTCATACAATCGGTTTGCAGTACTTTTCAGATATTATGTATGCGTAAAAGGTGGTAAAAAAGAAAATGAGTGAAAGTCAAGATGAAAACTAGAACACTTCAGAAATGCACAGCAGATTCATCAATTTCTTGAAGAACATGTTAATGTTTTAGACACAAGAAGTGGACCAAAATGTCAATCTAATCTTTGCTTTGCACATCCAACTGTGCTGTTCCATAATTTTCTGATACCACATGTTTAGTTCCAATAACCATTTATTTTTACATAATACATTTCTTTTTGGATATGTAGTAGCTATATCCATCAATATTTCTTCTGCAACATGGCTGGCTGGAACCTGTATCAATTTGTTCTCCTAAATTCAATTAACAAACTAGCTTTCATATAGCACCATATTACATCGATTGGGAATATCTCAAAGTACAACACATCTAATGAATTACGGATTCCCTCAAAATCCTGGTTCTGTAGAGCCTGTCTAAATACTTAAGCTTGGACAAACATTCACACTTTAGAAGAATACTAACAGCTCCAAAATTTATTCACATATGTGAACTATCCAGAAAAACAAACAGCAGTCACAATTATTTCCAACAGTTTGTCACTTACACAAAAACACCCATTTTCATTTTTGGAGTTATGCAAACATTAAGGAATTTTCTTCGGGGATGCCTCTGGGGCTCAACGGTTTATCACATGAATGAGTTACACAAGCAAGTTCAATCCCCAATCTGTAACGTTTCATTAAATCTGTGAGCACAGCAGGAAAATTAGATAAAATAAGGGGAGGAGAACTGGCCAAGGTTTTGATCCTGACCATTATCCAGTGGCCTTTACTGAAAGTGAATGAGTGTACATTAACCAAGGTTAGGATCAGCTGCAATTCACACAAGCTATTTTACCTTGTGAACATTCCAAATAAGCCACCCTCATGTACAGTGATTATTGTAAATACCGTAGTCCAATGACAACTATGGAGCCCATACCTCAGCAAGCGTTTAACACTTAAAGAAAGGCTGGGAAGAAAATTAATGTGAAAATAAATGGTCGTATCTGTGCAAATATAATTCTTAAAAAAGCTATTTTTTTGGAAAAATTAAAGTTTACTCCTTGTTACATTTAGTTTTACATTAAAGTTTCTCCACGCCTGTACAAGACGGTCAAAGCAACCAAAGTAACTTTTCCACAGCCTGATTTAATATTATAAAATGCAACAGAAATGCGAGACAGTCCTTTGCAAAGTGATACTTCCATTTTATTTCCACCATTACCATACTCTTCATTCAGAAACTATTTTCTCTAGCGTCTGGGTACTTACCTTCCAGAAATCAAACTGTTCAATCGATAATAGTGCTAATTCAACAAGCTACGGACCATAATGAAGAAGGGTCTAGGCCCGAAATGTCAGCCTTCCTGCTCCTCTGATGTTGCTTGGCCTGCTGTGTTCATCCAGCTCTACACCTTGTTATCTCAGATTCTCCAGCATCTGCAGTTCCTACTATCTCACGGACCATAATGGTCGGGTTGAGACAGATCAGATCTAGAGACAGATCAGCTGACTCACATTTTGCTTGCACAGACCTATCATGCTTGTCATTCCTTTATTCTTTATTACTATCAATTTCTTTAGCTTCTATTTTCACTCTCTTTCAAATATATGCCATTTGTTATGGCACAGCTCCAAGGTTATCAGCTAATTCAAGCAGTGCTGCCAATTTTAGATGATTGTTAATAAGCTAGGAGACAAGGTTGAATCACAATGTTTGATTTACATTTTACATCTTGCTTCAGGCTGTACTAGGCGTAAAGTAGGCATACAAATAGAATTCAGAAAAGCGTAAAACAAATTACCTGTGTGAGATCTCTTATGATATATCAACATATGATTCTGTGTGAACCTGGCACCACATTCATCACAGGCAAATGGCTTTTCACCAGTATGGACCCTTGAGAGTGCAAGCAAGAAAGAGAAAAAGAGTATTAATATACTAAAATCCAAGAGTTATTTAAAAGATCAAACTACAAACATTGCACGAGATTTCAAATCAACTATACTAAATTCTAAAGCAGAAATAAATGCCTTTTCCAATGCTGCATACAGTCTAGTTACAACTTCAAAACAACCAGAGGCAGTTTGCTGATTACTTTTCTTGTAGGTTCTGAAATTAGGCAGTTCATTGGTAACTCAATTTTCAAATGGAGGCCCACAGATAATTAATTGACCTGAAAAGATAAGTATCATTTTTTAAAATCTGATATTGTAAAAACAAACACAACACTTGGACCAAATCTTTCCCTTATTTCTTTCCCAAACTCATTATCAAAATAGAAAGGGGATGTAAGAAAGTAGCATGCTCCTACACCCCAATCTGAAATTCATTCTTGAAACTTTGTCTTGCTATTTTTACCTTTGCCTTCAAAAGGCTCCTTAAGCCCCTGCTCTATGATGCTTTGTGATCTTCCCCCTCTAACTTTCCTTCTTTACCTGCTTAGCGTTCACACTTTTGTTTTTCACACTGACGGTACAGGTGATGAAATATTATATAAATCGAGTCACCACTAATTTTCCTCTAAGCTGTGTGGGCTTGTGGCCCAAAATCCATCAGGAATGTACCATGCAGAGGACAAATAGGCCGTGTTTAAATAACTGTTTCAAGATGCTCCTATGCATGGCATCATACAGTACAACAGTGCAAACAGACTCTGCAAAAGTAAATAAGAGAGAACAATAGCAGCCGATTATTGCTGGCTTCTAACTCGTGGCTAGACTTTAGAAACTAGGATCGACTTTCTTTTCAATTTTTGATTCTTCTCTTGGTAAGATCAGTTGTACATTACAAATGGTCACAATTTCCAAAGGAATTCTCTAACAAGTTCCTTGTGACAAACCCCATTTGTCAAGTGGCAAGCTCTGAAATATCACAGTAAAAGTGGTCCTCAATAAGGGGGTTCAACACAAGCCAGGACAGGCAACCTCTACCAATGAGGCCTCAGTACAAACTATTTATGCACTTGTTGAAAGACATAAACAATGCTGCACATTACTGAGGTGTGTCACCACCACAAAGTGGTGTAATAATCACCTTAAACTCAGCAAATGAGGTGGCTCTTCCATGGCTTCAGGGATCTGCAGTTGCTAATTAAATAAAATCAATACCCTCAGACTGGAGTCTGGCTAAGTGGAATCGCAGGCATGAGGTGGTCTCATCATATGCATGCTAAAGTACATTTCCTTTTTACTTTCGTTAGCAAATCACCTATTCAATGAAACAAAGCATTCAAAGAAAATGCATAGTTTTCTAAAGAAATTGCAAGAACAAGAATTCTTCTGTGTACTCTTATACTAATTAATTACTTTTTCCACCTTGCCCATAAAACTGTAAGACATAAGATTATACTTTAGTTATGTGCAGATTATATTGCTGCAAAGAACAAGATCATAGGGACATCTTCGGAACAAGCTCAAATCCATGCAATGACACAGCTAACAGTTGCTTAAAATCCATACTATAAAAAGTCATTCTGTACAATTTTACCTCAAGTGCACCTTCAGTGCAGAAGGCTGAGAAAATTTAGCATGACATTCTGTGCACTCATAAGGCTTATCTCCGGTGTGCGTCCTTTCATGGAGTCTCAAAGCAGTTTTGGAACTCAGTCCTTTACCACACTGCAAACACAAGTGACGCTCTCCACCACCCTCATGAACCTGAAGGTTATGCCGCTTCACATCTTTTTTCCTTTTAAACTTTTTACCACAAAGCGAGCATGGAAAGCGACGCTCTTCAACATGGACATGCCTTTGGTGGCTTTTTAAGTTACAGCGATTAGCAAAAGTCTGATTGCAAGTGTCACAGCGATAAATTATTTCAGGTGTCACACCATGATTCTGCTCTATGTGTTTCAAGTAGCTCTTCTCATATTGAAAGTCTTTCTCACATTTGTCACATTTAAAGTTTCCACCTCTTCTCTTTTTCTCAATCTCATCAGGTGTCTTTTTGGTATCTTCATCTAATTCAAAATCACTATCACTCTCTGCCTCTTCATCTTCATCATCGTCCCCTTCCATCATCCCATCATCTTCATCTGGATCTTCAACAATTTCTGCCATCGTTTCCTTTTTCACTTGGTCTTCAATGACTTGATTATCTTCTACACAGGTCAATTTTTCAGATGCCTCTTCCAAATTTTGATCAACCTTCTCTTGCTCGCGAAGCTTGCGAGTATATTTCTTTTTGGGAATTTCCAAAAAGACTTTTCGGCCTGCCAGCCTTCCACTGGCTCGTTTGGCCTTTACACCAAAAGATTTCCCCATTTTCTTCTCTTTTTCTGACTTTTCCCAGCCTTTGGCTCTAGTGGTTACTAGCAATGGCTTATAATCTTGATCATGAGATTTCTCTTCATCAGAAATATCTTGGGCAGAGGACACTTGGCGAATGTCTGGTGTTGAAGGAATTGATGTGTTTTGAGAAGAAAGGGAAACACAATGACTGTCCTGTTTATTGTCTATAATTCCTTCTGTTCCCTGGGAATCAGCCAAATTGCCCAAGTCCATTAGAGCTGACTCAAGTATCTGTGATTTTACTTGACTGCAGACTTCTGCTAGTTCCCTGCACTTCAATTTCTCTGCAATCTCCTGTAATCTTTGTACCCTCTCGGCTTCAACCTCGACTTTTGCAGTATATACAAAATCCAAAAAAGAGGCAAAGTCTGCCGTGTAAATGTCTTGCAAAGTAACAATAGTAATCTTAGTGTTCACCATTTCATTAAGGAACAGTTCCTTAAAGTAACTGCTGGCAGCTGCCAACACAGCTTTGTGAGCAACAAATTCCTCTTTGTTGCCTTGGTGCTCGATCTGCACAGTTACATCACAGAAGTAGCATAAAATCCGCAGTTTGTGCATTTCATCCAACAAGTTTTTCGGAGCTGCCCTTGACTCCAATACAACTTGATTGCTGACCATCTTCCTTTATTTTGTCAAACCCTGCAACATAAAAGTGTATATAGTCAAACTGAGCAATTATGTTCCTGGCTTGCCTAATAAATTCTGAATTTGTTTGACAAATAATAGCACATAATTCATTATGTATTGTTTCTTCAGATTTTTCTAATTACTCTTAGCACTCATTTTTATTGAACAATCTGATCTCTCATACCTTCATGTTTAAATCAATATATTCACTGCATGCGATAGGCTGAAAACAGCTCATTACCAGCCGAGCAGGAACACAGACAAAGCCTATGCAGGAAAAAACTCTAGATTTGTTACACCTCAAAACAACTTTTGTAACTGTACATGAGTCTGAATATCTTGCTGTGAGAATTGAATAATGATACGCAAACAAAAAATTAATGGATAAATTTTCCCTTCCCTGTCAAAACGTTTTGGAACATTTGATCAATCAAAAGCATTACTCTTCATCTACTACTGATAGACACGATAATCTATTTTTTCTGTAGGAAAAAATAAATTTAAAGACCACACTGAGAAATAATAGATTACATTAATATTATGGAAATACATCACTTCACCCCTATGACTTATTCTTTTCCATGGAAAATGTAAGACAATAGTTACAAGGTAGAAAATCAAACGGTTGGAAAACAACCTAACCCCAATGGAGTGAAGCGCAATGTAGTCCCTACTAAAAAAACACAGAAGTTGACAATGCAATTTTGAATGTGGAATCATGATCTGCCTGCATTTCTTCATTACCTGACCTAAGCTTTGGATGAGGTCTAGTATCAATCAAAATCAGTCCATCCCTCAAACTGTTTGCACCTATTCCATAGTACTGTCTCATGTTGAACTATACTGAGTGGCGTTAATATCTGATTCAACAGCGACTTTAGCTTGGGACTCTTATCTACTAAGTTAAAAAGTACTTTCTTTCTCCTTGGTTCACCTCAGCCCATGTGTTCTTAAAATATTTAACAATGTAAGACTCAATCATCTCAAAGCTGTTTTGGCCACCCGTCCTGCATAAGTTTCAGCTCATTTAAATTGCCATTGCCTGATACTAAATGATAGTTGTCCTTTACTCTAGTCCTTGCTAATCTACAATGGCTTCCAATCTTCAAACACCTTCAACTTTAAACTTCCACCCCCAAGTTCAAATCCATTTATGATGTCTCCCAATTCTGGAGCTAAAAATACACAGAGACCTCTAAATGCCCAGGAGAATTCAATCATGAGGCAACCAGAGAAAAGTCATGCTGCAAATAGAGTGGATAGAATCAGCGAGAAGCTGCTCCTCCAGTTGCAGGCTGTTTCTCTCCCATACTTGCTGCTAACAGGCCAAATATTGTGAGCCTCTCGTGCATATCTCTATGCATTCATCCTATCATCAGGGGCATGCTTTCAACCATCTACGCCCTGTACTCTGGAGGATCATAAAATTTTCCAACACCTTTTCTGCTTTAGGATTGAATTCAAACGCCCTGGTCATTACCAAGTATTTTTCAATCCTGCTTCTGAGCTTTCATCAAGTTTATGATGAAGTAGTTCTGGTAATTTTTTGAAATTAAAGGACCTATGTAAACACAACTGACATGACAATAGAAATACAGTGAAGACTACAGGCCTTAAAGCTGAACAAATAGTGCAAGTCAGTTGGTTTAAATAGTTTTAAAAAAAAGACACACACTTACTTGTGAGGTTTAGTATGCCAGAGTCAATTATGTCATGACTGTAAGATGATCAGTATTCTGGATTTGAAGTACAAAAGTCTAGTGCAGATTAAATTCTGGTAATGCTTCCAACCTTAATACAGACAAATGTGGTTGTTAACATAAAAACAATGAGCTAAAGTGCTCATAAATTCTGATTTTAAGGATATTGCTGCTATTTAAATACATACATTGAGGAAGCTATGCCGTGCATGGGAATGATTAAAGCAGATAGCATATTTGCACATGCAAGAGAGAAGGAAAATCAAATCATGGAAAAGGCTGGAAAAGGTTCACAAACAATATAAATATTCACTTAGAATGAATTCCGTTCATGTGTTATATCACCCGGTTGGTAGATGCAACACAACCATAGGATGCATCATTTTCAGAGCCAGCAGTTAGGAAAGAAAATAAGCAAGAGACTTAGACTAAAATTCCTCTTTTCTCCAACTCAACAGTAATAAAAAGTGACAGTACTTTCAACAGGAAGCTGCACTGGTGTTCTATTTTGCAACTTTGTTGTACTTGTCAGAAATTATTAGTGATATAGCTTTGATTGCTTGAGAATATACTGATTTAAACCCAAGATCATGTACACCTAACTTCTAAAACTTTTGGAGTTCTTAGAAGACCTCCACAGGAACAAGCTATAAAACAAATGAAATGAACTCACTCAGTGCAGAAAAATTCCATGTCTGCAATGTAAGAATGATAGCTCATGAAATAACAGTACAATTTCACCAGATGGAGTCCCCCCTGCTGTCCATCCCCCAGGAACAGCTTTGGGAGCTGTTATGATTGTAGATTTTGTTGTACATTATGAAGTGGAATATCAAATTGAAGAACAGCAGGCTTTTAATATATATGTAGACAGTCATGCATATTCTACAATCATGATGGTCACTGTGTGACTTTAAAGAATGTTAGCTATTCTGGACCAGCAAAATTGTCTTTAATAGCATATGTGGAAATAAATTAACCAATCAAGTTTTGCCAGATTACCTTTTGAGATCTGACAGTATTTATGTACAACATACCACTAGAGGATACAATGGAATATTCACCAAATGGAGGGGGCCGAAATACGAACAACAGAAATTCTCAGAGTTCCAAATTTTGGCCTTGCATGCATGGTACAGCAATTCACCAGACACTGGAACAAAAACAAGTACAGGCAGCAAACCGAATTTAGTTTCTCCTAGGAAGATGATCTAAATCGGACATAGTGCAATAACTTAGATAAGACCCTGTCTCGCTAAAATTTCTGTGGTTTATCAGGAAGATAAACACATATTGCCCCAAACAGTATGTTTTGACCGTAAGTCAATAGATTCCATTGTAGGCTGGATCACAAACTGTCAATGAAAGGAACAGATTTAATGGGCTGACTGGCTTTTTTGTTTCATACTTTAAAGCCTTGGTACCCTGGGATGGATAGAAAGTTGCAATTGCCATAGCCATAAAGTTTTCATGGCCTTCATGAGCACAGTACTTTGCAGCAACATTTAGCAATGGGCATTATAAGAGTTGAGGCACACTGTTCAGTATACTTCAATCTAGGAGGGACTGTATTGAGAATTATTAATGGGGAAAAACAGAATATTATTAATTTCATAAATACAACAAGTATATTTGCAGGAAAAGTAAACTTACTAAAATAATCACAATATGGAAACAGCTCAGTTTTTCGTCAGCTCAGTTTTCTCAATATTTTGAAACAGTGGAGGTTCCTAAGATGGGAAATATAAAATCATAGATAAGTTTGAAGAACCATCTTGGAAGATGATCAGGTGTACAGCTCTGCCTGCAACACCATTATCCTCTCAAGACCGATCTCAAAACTCCGTGACCTTGGTCTCGGCTCCGCCCTCTGCAACTGGATTCTCAGCTTTGTGACCCACAGGCCGTAATCAGTGTAGATACAGAACTACACCTTCTTCACAATAACACACAACACTGGAGCCCCTCAAGAATGCGCCCTCACCCCCCTACTGTACTCCCTTTACACCTACAACCGTGTTGCCAAATTCGAAATGAACGCCATATCAAGTTTGCTGACAACACCATCACAGTGGGATGGATATCTAACAGAAGGGAGGTAGAGGGCTTGGTGACGTGATGCAATGAAAACAATCTGTCTCTCAATGTCAGAAAAACTAAAGAACTGAAAGAACAGAGGAGAACACGCCCCCATCTACATGAACAGAGCTGAGGTTGAGAAGGTGAAGAGCATCAAGTTCCTCGGAGTGACGCCAACCAACAACCTGTCCTGGATTTCCCACGCAGATGCAACAGTCAAGTTGGCACAACAATGCCTCTTCTTCATCAGGCAGCTCAGGAAATTTGGCATGTCCATAAGGTCCCTCATCAACTTCTACAGGTGCACCATTGAAAGCATACTGTCCAGGTGCATAATGGCCTGATATGGCAACTACTCTGCCCAGGACCGTATGAAACTACAGAAAGTGGTGTGCACAGCCCAGACCATACAGAAGCCAATCTTCCATTCAAAGACTCCATTTACATGGCTCGCTGCCATGGAAAGGCTGCCAACATCAAAGACCCATCACAACCTGGTAATGATCTCCTACAACCTCTTCCGTCAGGCAGAAAATACAGAAGCCTGAATGCATGCACACATGGTTCAGGAACAGCTTCTGCACAGTGGTTATCAGACCGAGAATGGACTCTCTAGCCTCAAATAACACGGATTTTGCAAACGGTGATCTCGCCTAGCCCACACCCTGTGCAATGTAACCTGTAAGCCTCTGTCTAAGTATTTTTAATCTGTACATTCTTTGCTTACTATTATCTCCCTCAACCACTCGTAAACAAAGCTTTTCACTGTATTTCGGTACACATGACAATATATCAATCAATCGAAATTATATACCAAAACAAAAACCAGTGGATTTGGAAAACTATTATATGAATCATGAACTGCATAGTTAGTTAAAAATTTTGAGATGGAGTTTTGCAATGATAACACACGTTAATGCCAAGTGTAATGAAATTGTTAACTCGTTCATAAAAAAAAATTCCAACTTGCTTACTGCTTGGGGTAAATTCTACAATATGTTACATGATAGAGCAGATTGAAATTAATGACATTAATGAAAATGAAATTAATTACTTTGACTGCAATTCAATGAAATACGCCAATGACTACAAAGACTTCTAATACTACATTTTAGTCTAATACTATATTTTCGTCAAATTCTAACTAACACTTGCAGTAACTGTCCTAGTAGGAATTCTGTAAAACGGATCTTTATTGTCTGGAGTTTGGGGAAGGCAAGAGGTGATCTCATTGAAACACGTAAGATTTGCAGTGCGCTGGACAGCATGGAGTTTGGGGCGCCTGGCTGGACAGTCTACAGTCACGGGATAAGGAGCATAATAATTTCATTCAGAGACAAGAAATTTCTTTGTTTAAAGGGTTGAAAGTCTCTCCAATTTTCCACCCCAGCGGGCTCTGAATGCCCAGTCAATTAGTTTATTCAAGGTTGAGACAGATAGATTTTTGGTTTCTAAGGGAGTAAAGGAATATGGCATAAGGCAGGAGAACAGGGTTGAAAAAGTGTTTGCCAAGATCGCACAAAATGATGCAGCAGGTATGAGGGGCTTTGTGGCCTCATCATAACCTGTTTCATACCTTTTTAGACATTCATGTTAGGTAGGTAAAACAGCGAAGCAGGTAATTAATTAAAGCAAAATATTTGCATACAACATTCTTTTCACTATAAATGCAATGAAGCCATCTTCTGTTTTAAAATTGGTGTTCTATAGAATGTTTACTTACTTCTAATTCACATCAGCTTAATGGTCAACTGGTTAGTTTGAATGTTACACGCAACACATATTAATCGCTGCTGGACATTCTATTATACAATCAACATCCTCATGTCAGATTACTTTGTGCTGCTGTGAAAAGTCAAAAGGACCAAGCAAATGCTATGTTGATATTAATAAGCCTACTGCTTTGTAAAGATTTTTTTAAAAAGTTGAAGAGCAACATCTTAATTAACCAACTTTATAGAAGTGTAGACGGGGGGAGCCGTCGTGGAGATCCTTTTGAGGTTTGTAGATAATGAAAGCAACAAATTGCATTGACTTCGCAATTCATCTCCATTAAAGAGGTTAGAGAAGAGCAGGGACCAAGTCAAAATTTTAATTTGCAGGGAGAGAAATCAACTCAATGAAAGAAGTTTGCTTCCCAGATTCTTGTCTCTCCATTGGAGATGATCTCCCTGGTACAGTACCACTGAGAATGACAGGGCACAACGATCATCTGAAATTGTTCTAATTGCCACAGCAGGGATGAGGGAATTGGGAGGGTGCAGAAAGTCAAGAGAAATTCTCAACTGCAAAATCTAACTGGCTATGGGATAGGGTTAGACGTGGGCCAGGGATCATGGGCATTTCCTTGTCCGACACATCTCGTTTATCAGCCTTGGGGGCTGGGGTGGGCCAGAGGCTCTTTCCGCGCCTTGTATCCATCTGGGGCGCCACGGCATGCAAACGATGAGCGGGGTGGGGGGCTGCAAAAAGGTGAGTTAAGTTCATTCTCCAAAGCTGCAAGTTGTGGAAGCAAAGAAATGAAACAAAAAGAAAATAGGAAATGCTCTGACCACCACTGCAACCCCCTCCCCCCAATTCACTCACACTCTCCACCCCCACCCTCCAATCCCAATGGCTGCCTTAGCTGCTCCCTCCACCTGTCTCCCCTCAAGACAATAATGTTTCCCTTTCCTCTGCCCCTGGGGCTGTCGCAGTCTCCCCACCAACTCCCCAGGGCCCGGGCTGCTCAGGTTTGACTTGTCCACAGCCTGAAAGGGACAAGACTGAGGTATTATCGAGCACACCTTACCCTACTCCCACCTCCCCGCGACCCGAATAACATTTCCCTTCCCCATCCGGGTCAGACTGACCTGCTCGCTCTCTCCGTCGGCCTGGGACAAGTGTAAAGAGTTGTAGAGGTGGGTGTGTGTGTAGTGGGAGGGGGGAAGGCGGTAGGTCCCCACACACACCCTCCCCCCGCGGGCCGGCGGGCTCTAGGTCGCCATCAGACGCCTCTCGCGCTGGGCCCTCTCCCTCGGGCGCGAGCAATCGGCGAGGTGGAGGAGGAAGAGTGGGGGTGGCATGGGCGCGCGTGAGCCTACGTGCGCGCGCGCGTGTGTGGGCGCGCGCACCATCTCCCGGGAAGGTCGCGGGGAGCGGGGTGCAAACTTGAACCAAGCGGCCGCGCCTCGCGCTCCCGGCGTCTGCGCCTGCGCCCTCCGACAGGAGCCAGCGAGCCGGCCACCCGTCGCCAGTCTTCCAATGCGCCTGCGTGACGCTCGCCCGTTGTTCGCTCCGCCTCTTGCTTCCCCACGCCCCTTGACGGCTGCGATTGCGTAAGATCGAGGGACACCGGCGGCCTTCGGGGAACAGGGTCAATAAATTCGGAGACAGGCGGTTCGAATCCAGCCGCGGCAGATGGTGGAATTTGAATTTGGAAACCTGCAATTTGAAAATTAAGTGTCTAACAATGACCATGAAACCTGTGTCAACTGTCAGAGGAAAAAAGCCCCATTTGGTTCACCAATGTCCTTTTAGGGGAGAAAAGGGCTGTCCTTACCTATCTGGCCTACGTGAGACTCAACATTCACAGGAATGTGCTTGACTCTTCACATAGCAGGCCATTCAGCTTCTCGAGCCTGCTCGCCCATCCCCATTTAATGGGTACATGTTGCCAGCCAGAAAGTAGACAGAGAGTCGGCAGAGTTTCGGGTGAAGCTGATCATTTCTGGGTTCTTCCCAAATTAGAGGGGAAGACAGTAAAGACGGAATTGGATATGGGCGCAGTGGTTTCCTAATTCCCAAATCGGTCTACTGGGAGAAATTAAGGGCACTACCAATGCAGCCTGTCAAGATTAAAATGGCAGACATACACGGAACGAGTGATGCCACTGAAGGGCTATGTACTGGTGAAAGTACAGTTAAGGTACTTGCCTGCAGAATCGCCACTATACATGGTAAAAGGCGAACACCCTGCATTTTTCAGTTGTGCCTGGTTACAAAAATTAAAGTTCAACGAGGCGTGGTTAATACGCTGGTGGACTCAAACTTGAGTTTACAAGAAACCCCGGACAAGTGTGAAGATGTCTTCATGGGAACCCTGGGGGAAATGAAAGGAGTCAAAATTAAAATACTGCTGGATCCAGATGCTCATCTGAGGAGTCTGAAAGTGCATCCAGTACAGTGTATGCCATTCAGTCTAAAGTGGAGGTGGAACTGGAACAGCCGCTGAGGGTGGGAGTGTTGGAATCAGTGAATGGGCCACTCCAATTGTTCTGCTCTTAAAAGCAGATGAGGACTTGTGGCGAATTTAAGGTCACAATCAAGTGTGTGATCAAAACCCACTCCCACTTGTAGAAGACCTATTCAGTGACTGGCAGTTGGAAAGAAATTCTCGAAAATAGATCTGTTGCAGGCCTACTTACATCTCAGCTGCTGCTGACGATAGTGACACATTGGATTTTTCTGCTCTGAGCACTGTTCTTCAGGCATCAAGTCCCAGCTGTATTTCAGAGGCCATGGTCTAAATTTTAAGTTGGAGTCCAGTGTTATCTGGTGTACTGTATCCAGTTCTAGTCTCCCTGTTGTAGGAAGGATATTATTAAGCTGGAGAGGGTTCAGAAAAGATTTACCAGAATGGAAGGTTTGAGTTATAAGGAGAGGCTGGATAGCTGGGACGTTTTTCACTAGAGTATGGGAGATCGAGAGGTGACCTTTTAGAGGTTTATAAAATGAGCGGTATAGATAAGGTGAATGGCAGTTGTCTTTTTCCTAGTGGGGGATTTCAAGACTAGAGGGCACGAGAGGATAAAGGTTTAAAAAAAGACACGAGGGGCAATTCTTTAGACAGAGAGTTGCCAGTGTGTGGAATGAATTTCCAGAGGAAGTGGTGGATGCGGGTACAGTCACAATGTTTAAAGACATTTAGGTAAGTACATGAATAAGAAATGTTTGGAGACGTATGGGCCAAGTGCAGGCAGGTTGGACTGGTTTAATTTGGTATTATAAAAACCGAAAGAACTGCGGATGTTGTAAATCAGGAACAAAAACAAAGTTGCTGGAAAAGCTCAGCAGGTCTGGCAGCATCTGTGAAGGGAAAAAA